GCGCGCTTTCTCTTAAAATCCGGCCGATGGCTCGGAGGTGGTGGATAATTAGCTTCTTGTCGGTAGCGAACGAGTGGCCCTTCGACACTTTCTCCTTTGGATGCACCGTAAGATACAACGACTGGTCGAAAAATGCCGGAGGCCTTCTACCAAGGCCCACATCTTCCGGAAGCTTCCGTGCGTGCGAAAACGATGATGTCAAGACCAAAGACACAATCAAGAACATGGAAAGAAGTAGAATTTTTCGAGGCATGATGGAGTTTTTTTTAGGATTCTTGAAGAGAGATGAAGTTGTATTTATGGAGATTGGAGATTTTTTGTTTAAAGTTTGGTGGGTTTATTAGTGATTTTTGAGGCGTGGAAGTGTGATATATACACAAGTTGTTGTAAGCTTTATACTTAGGAATAGTATAGAAAGGGTAATGAATTCAAATAGAAGCGCGTGGGGTCAAATGTGAGATTTTCTTCTTACATGTGAATGTTGAATGTGGAGAATATTTTTGTGGGAAAAAAAAAGAATGAAATAAGACCATAATTCAATTAATGTTATACACGGGTGGTAACTATAAATTAATTTATATAAAATTAAGATTTTTTTTATTATTAGTATTTATTTAAAATGTTACTTTATAACCCATATATTACACTAAATAATTATAAGTTTTTGTCACTTTATTAATCTTTAACGTGTCCGAGGTTACCATTTAATTTTTGTTTATAGCGTAGACGTTTTTTTTATTTTATGTATGTTTTTGTTTTTTNTATATTATTTTGTATGTAGATGTAAATACCAAAGCAAATATTAATTTGACATAAATAAAATAAATCTTTTTTTTGGTGTTTTATAATTTTAAACATTCTAACTAGAAACATGAATAAAATTCTTAGTCTATAACTTGATAGTTTTTTTTATTAATATAGCTATGTATTTTTAATTACATTATGAAAATAATTATAAGATAATTATATGGATTACATGTGAAACAAGATGATTCCATGCCCCCAGCCTAACCTTGATATTATTAGAAATAATTCAAACTTTATATAATGTATGTATGTGTAAAATGTGCTCTTAATACCATTTTTTCATTTCTATAATAATTTTTGGATATTATCCTTAATAAATTATATCTATATAACTACCACAAATTGCAATATATAGTGTGTACAACTTTAATCTAAGAGTAACATTTATTATGTATTTGTAGCATTTTCCTTAATCTAATAGTCCTTAAAATAGTTAAAAAATTTTCTAAAAATATAGGTACAATATTTTAAAAATAATTTATCTATATAAAAAAAGAATATCATAAAGAAATAGTTAAAATAAATAGAACTATCTACCCAATATAATAATAAATTTAAGTAATATAATTTTTTGAAATATATTTGGAAACAACTATTTATTTTTTATTTGCATGGAATTTGTAAATCAATGAGGTTTTTTTTATCATTTTTTTCAATTATTTTTTACACGTGCAAATCTCTTGTCTATGATTAATTTATACATATCTTCCACCGAATACAAAAATAATACTATTTCAAATTTATAAATTTGTTAATTACTTAGGTAGTAGTGAAAAGTTGTAAAAATTAATGTTAAAAAGAATATTTCAAAAATATTCTTTAAAGTTTGAGAATGAGTTTAATAAATATTAGACAAGAATTGCTATTTTGAAAGTTAATGCAAAATGAATTTAAAAATGAGTTTTTGATTGGATACATTTTATACTCTTTAAATTTAAAAAAAACCAGCCGCTTGGCTTTGGGTTAGGCTTTGGATTGGCCTCATTGTGCTTTGTTCTCCTTCTCATCACCACGACAAATGCTCGTTCCCAAAGTATAAAACCCTCTATTTTTGGTGTTCCTTAATTTATGCGTTAAATTATGTTGGTTCGAAGTATTCCTTTTATTAGATTGCAACATTTATCCATATTGAGCAGACGAAAACAAATTAACAACGCCAATCTTCTTTTATATAATAATATTAAGTATTAAATTCTGATTATATTACGGCTGGAGGCTACGCTGTTATCCTACGTGCTAGCACTAGCGAGCTCGGACAAAATGGTCCAAAGCAAAAGGGTGCCCGAATTTCAATAAGGGTTGACCGGGTGCACCGTTTGGTGGAGAAAGGCTTCGTTGACTATGCTCTGTACTTCTTCGACACATTGGCCATCGAGTGGGCGGGCCCTGATTGCCTTGCCCTGTCCGTGGCGGCCATGTTGGACTTGCCCACTTGTTGGGCCACAATCGAACTTGGTGGATCCTCATATGCACCTGCCTGTCAGCGGTCAGAGTTTCAGTCAAAATCCCTAAATTTCCAGTTCTGTTTTTCCTTTGATTCGCGTCGATTTCTTTTTTTTGTTCTTCTTTGATTGATTGATTGATTGATTGATCGTTGGCAGTTTTGGATGGTGGGCTCGGACGAAATAAAACCCCCTCACAGATCGGTGGAAAAGGACGGCGGCTCGAAAGCCTTTATCTTCGAGTTTAGGACAAACTTCACCATGAAGAGAAGAGGGGAGAAGCTGAAATCGGGGATTTGGAGAGCTTTAGGGTAATGAATTTTCGAATCGGGAGATGCCTGGGAAGAGTATCTTGCTCTTCATGCCCGGACATGCATACGGCTGTTTGATTACTGGATGATTAAGGCTGAAATGAAGCTTATGCTGGGCGAAGACCTCAATTTTGCCCGAGAGGCAGCAGCAGACCCTCAGAACGCTGCCCTGGATAATCCCAGTCGTGGTGGGCCTCGAGGTCTGCACGGCCCAACAAGATGGTGAGCCCGTTGAGGCCGCTATGGCCCGAGCAATCAGGGCCCAGAACGTACGGGCCTCGTTGGTTGTTCTATCTGCACAGCTTAGGCAAGATAAGGGTTAAAAATATCGATGAGGGCTTGGCTCTTAAGGAGGTTTGTGGTATTTGCTCAAGGGCTACGAATATAGGCGATCAAATATCCGTGCTACCTAATTGTCGACATGGTTTTCATTCCGGTTGCATTAGCGTGTGGCTTGAGGATCACTATAGGTGCCCTTCTTGTGCTGAAATTGCCTGCCCTTGGAGATTGTGAGATAAGAGTTCATATGGGTTAGTGTAGAAAAAGCAATTGATGAATTAGTTAACTTTCTTTGTTCTATATAGTTTTCATTTTTTTGTGGTGGTGACAAGGAGTTCTTGGTTTGGTTTGTTTGATGAATGTTGAAACCCTTTTGAACTTGTGCACCTTGTGATGATGTTGATGATGATGATGCCTCCTATTTCCTATTGTTCAATTTTCTCTATAGGCATAATAGTGAGTAGTTATTTTACTTATTTCAGCCGATTGTATGCATCACACCAACAATACTTAAAAAAACAACTTTTTAACAATTTTTGAGTTCTCATATTGTATATCCATGTCCACTTTATAGCATATATACATTTTTTTTTTTTTTTTTATATAGCATATGATCAGTCCCATGGCATATAATCCTAGACGAAGACGTTTGAGATAGAGATATTTTGGTTTTATAGTAATTGAGAAATACAAACCTAAATAGCTGCATAATGTGTGAGATATTATTCTCTTACTGTGACAGATTAGAACCTACCTTTCACTAACAATCTTGATGTTGGAATAAAATGGACCAGCAAGCATAGCCAAAAAACACAAGGCTCTGCAGCTTCTGATAAAGCTAGTGATATCACCATTGCAAGATATTAATTGATATTAACAACAAAAGTTTAATTACTTGTGTTACAAAAGATTACTTCTTGTTCTGGATAATGGGGTGACTCAGAATCTATACCTCAAGGTGAGGAAAAAAAGTAGCCAACTTGATTGTCACATCTTTAAGCAACTACAAACAACTAGTTATGTTAAAATCCATTTGTCATGCAAAGAAATTCATTAATTAGTCAAATTTCCAAATTCGCAGCTAACATGACCAATTGAAATTAGTTTGTTCAAAATATTAAATACCAAATAATGTTTTCCAAACTAATAAAAAACCACTATTTTCCCAAATATGCAGCATTTCTTCAGCTCCTAGAA